TTTCGCTTCCAATGGCCATCCGAGGCCTCAAGACGGCTCCAAGAGGGGCCAAGAGGGCCCCAGGAGAGGCCCAAGAGAGCCCCAAGACGGCCCCAAGAGCGCCCAAGAGCGCCCCAAGAGGGCCCATAAGGCTAAATTTGGGGCCCCCGAGGGGGGAGGCCAATTGGAGCTCCCATCTTGTCTGATCGATATCCTCCAAGATGGCCCGAAGAGCGCCCCCAGGGCACCCAGGAGCGAGAGGGCTCAAGAGGCGCCCGCGATGCCTCCAAGAGGCCCCCAAGAGAGAGGATCGGGATGGCCCGGCAGCCTGTCAGGCCCGGCCTCATTCCTCAGCAGCCTGTATCTCAGCAACACTTCCGCATTCCTGGCCGTGGCCGAACCTCACAGACAGGGGGAGAGCGGCTAGCGTCGTCGTGCTTGGCGCGCGGCCCACAGTGGCCTGAACATCAAGTTAAGCACTTCACGCGCAACCCCTCTATCGCCTACGCAGCCCGGGTGCAAGTCGGGGACACTCCCGGAAATTGCGACAACACGCACGTGCAGAAGTGCAGAGGAAATACAAATGGAACTGCAAAGATGGCGCACAAAAATGGAGGCAGATGGACTAAAGCTGGTGGATAGGGAAGCGCGAACAGAGAGAGAGAGAGAGATAGATAGGAGAGAGAGAGAGAGAGAGAGAGCAAGAGAAATCAAAGAGAGAGAGAGAGAAAGAGCACACACAAGAGCATCGCTTCACGCTTGGAGAGGGGAGGGGGCCAGCCGCAAGCACAAGCATCATCATCATCATCATCATCATCATCATCATCATCATCATCACCATCACCATCACCATCACCATCACCATCACCATCACCATCACCATCATCATCATCATCATCATCATCATCACCATCACCATCACCATCACCATCACCATCACCATCACCATCACCATCATCATCATCATCATCATCATCATCATCATCGGCAACAGCATCATCCTCATCATCATCATCCTCATCATCATCACCACCACCACCATCATCATCATCATCGACGACGACATCAGCAAAGACACCGTCATCATTGCCATCGTCATCGTCATCGTCATCGTCATCATCATCATCATCATCATCATCATCATCATCATCATCATAGTCATCATCATCATCAGCATCATCATCAGCAGCAGCATCATCACCACCACCGCCATCCTACCACCATCACCATCAGCATCATACTCATCCTCATCCTCATCACCATCATCAGCAGCAGCATCATCATCAGCATCATCTTCCGCCTTCTCTTGCGGCCATTCATCGATGTCCTCCTTATCATTCCCATGTACCTCGTTCCGTTGTCGTAGATGGATAGATACCCTCCTCCTTCTCGTCTGCATCGCCTCGCTTGTCTGTGGACGGACGGGGAGACGGGAAAGGAGGTGGAGCTTTAGACCCGCGCCAGCTCAGACTTTCAGGGGAGGGGAGCGTGTTCTCACGGAGGGGGAGGAGGGCAGTCCGCGAAAAGAGGAGGAGGAGGAGGAAGGGTAAGGGGGAGGAGGAGGAGGAGGAGGAGGAGGAGTAGAAGGAGGAAGAGGAGGCGGAGGAGGAGGAGAAGGAAGAGGAGGAGGAGGAGGAGGAGGAGGAGGAGGAGAGGAGAAGGAGATGGAGTTCAAATCTCGCGCCAGTTCAGACCTTGGTCCTTGACAGGAGGGAGGAGACCACACGGGGAGCCTTCGGCGCCACTGCGCTAGCACGGTGGCTGGATCTGCCGCTGGTGCAGAATTCCATGCGGGAATCATTACAGCCCTCCCTGTGGAGACCATACAATGCGAGGCAATCCAATACTCACTGATGCAGTCAAAGCCAGACCCCCTGCAAGAGCCAAGACAATTCTCGAACACGCACGCGGATACGGCCGGAGCCGCTCCTCCGTGATCGGCTCCAAGGCGCCTCCGCCCTCAAACAAAAAGAAGTTGCGCAGCCCGCTGCTGCAAACCTCGGGGGGAGGTCGACGCTGTTTGTTCCCTCGGCAAAGATAAGACGAGAGAAGGCCTTCAACGCATCGGCTCCCTCGGGGGCAATCAAAAAAAGTCCCAGGGACTGCGCCAGGGGCTGTGCAGGGGGGCGGTGCTGGGACAGCCCGCTGCTGCAAGCCTCGGGGGAAGGCCACCCAGGGTGCCGAGGCCCCTCGTTGCCGAAGCCCCGTTCCCCTCCCCAGAAAGCAAGTTGCTCATCCCACGAAGCATGCTTTTCTCCCTCAGGGCGTCTTCCCTGCCCCAAGGGCGGGAAAGGTCTGGGGCGCGCAAATTCAAGATCAAAAGAGGGTGTTGAAAAACAAAAAAGATCGAAGGGGCGGGCGAGGACAGGGGCAGTGCGGAGCAAGCGCAGGGGCGTGCCAGGGGGTAGACCTAGTCCTCCGACGTGATTCGTCTATGCAAAGGTCTGTCTTCGGATTTGGCCTCTGGAAAACCGTCTGGCGCGAATCGTGGTTCCACCACTACTACTACTACTACTACTAC